ACGCTCTTCTTAATGCACCCCAGGATCCCATTGGCCTTCTTGGCCACGAGGGCACCCTGCTGCCTCATGGTCACCTTGTTGTCCACCGCGACACCCAGGTCCTTCTGCATTTCTGCATTTAATGCTTCTCACACACTCCTGAGCACGTGAGCATCCTCCTTTTAGAGCGCTCGGGAAGGGACGTGGCTCTGTCTCCTGCCACCGCTCACCTGGAGTGCAGTCCTGTGCTTCATCCACAAAAATGGCATCGTATCCTGTGAGCTGAGGCTTGCTGAGATGCCAAAGTTTCAAATATCCTGAGGGAGAAGACAAGGGCCATCAGCCAAAGGGTCAGAGTTTTCTTGCCATACAACACCATGACCTTAAAAACTAACCTCTTCTTAAGGCAAATAAATAAATAAACAAATAAATAAATAAATAAAGCAGTTTCTGACCCTACTCCTTGCTTGGAAGCTCCACGACACTCAGAAAGGCTACACATTTGCTTCCACATATTGCAAACAAACCCAACAACCCCTGGTTGGAACTCCCTGATGAGCCAGGGCAGGTGCACGAAAAAGCTGCCCCTGGTTTGATCTATTATTTCTCTTTACCTGAAAGCTATTTGACATCTGTAGGCTCTTACCATCACATGTCATCTTGTAATTCTTCTCTGCGTCTCCATCCAGCTTCTTCATATTGTACCATATCTCATTTGCTTCTTGAACATTGATCTAGAAAGCAAAACCAGAAGAGCCTGGATAGATTGCTTTGAAAAACTGTTTAGGCATAGAAGATCTTGAAGCCCCAGCATAGCTGGAGCAGAGCAGGCAATGAGCCTGCAGGGTTTAAATGTTGTATCCTTCCTTTAGCTGCCTTCCCAAATTCCCTCCTTCCTTCCCAACAACTCTTTGATTGCTCTTGAACTTTCCACACCGGTTTAAAGGCAGCCTGTCCAAATCGAATTCTCCGAACGCTTTCTCCTCATATTTTTCTTCTATGTCATTACTGGGTAGCTTCTTCTATTTGCTTCTATTTAGCAAAGTCTTTTCCAACTGCAGCCCCCTGACAAGAACATTTATCTGTTCCAGCTAATAGAAGATTATCCTGACTTTGTGCTTATTTTGGCTTCTCTGGTGAGCTTGCCAGGTGCAAAGATACTTGACACTTTAAGGATATCATTCATTCCCTGCCAGATATAGCAGCTGCCAACTAAATTCCTGACAGCTGGAGTGGACAGGATCAGCTGCGATCACTGCCGAGCAAAAAGGCTAATTTTTTCCCTAGCTCCAGCCTGCATTGCTGCAATGTCAGTGTTGTCCTGTAAGAGCTGCTGAGAGGTTTGTGCTCCAGCTAAGAATCTCTGGGTTCAGCTCTGCATATCAGCACCACAAAAAAAGGCTCATGTCTTTACACAGGGTATCATTTCAAGCACTGATAAAAACACACACACAGTCTCTTCCTTCTTTCCATTACAAGCAAGAAACCTGTGCATGGGGCTGACCTTGTCCTAACGTCCTCTCTATGAATCAGTTGCACAAGCAGCAGCAGGGATCCAACCCATTCCCTTTGGATTTATCACTGGAGGAAAAAAAATGCTTTTTGAGAGTTATTTCTTTTTGCTGAAGCACAACTATCCACGATCCATAAGAAATGGGATGAAACCTTTTATTTGAAACCTTCTAGCTCAGGTCTTGTTTCATCATGGATACTCACTCTCTTTTCTTGCAGGGTGACGAGTTTTCTTACGCCGTGGGTGTTTTTGAACCAAGTAGGAACGTGCTCTTCAGAGATCTCTTCATCTGAAGAGGCAAAAAAGTTTTCAAGTGTCTCTTTGACTGTTTTCCCTCTTATGAACAGAGATTGTCCCTCGCGGTGCTGGATAAGGAAACTTACTGAGTAAGCTGACAGATTGGAGAAGTTCAGCTTGCCTTTTTCTTTATAGCTATATCAGAGATGATTAAAAAAATAGGGAGAAGCTGAAATACACATGAAAAGCCTGCCAGAACAGCAATCTCATTTTTGCTTTTATTATTCACTAATGCTCATGGAAGTGCTATTTTATACACCCTTGCTAATGCTCACAGAAATGCACACCCTCCCGCCTTTGACCTTGTAAAGAGATAATTCAAAATTCTCAACATATTTATCCTCCTTGCATTCCTGGGGGAAGCAACAGCTTTTAGCATTGCCTCACGGTAGCTCAGAGAAGGCAGAAACTGCAAATTGTGGCTTGGCTTTAAGCAGGTGGAAGAAATTCTTTTCCTTAACATTTTTGCTCCCTCAAATCCTGGAAGCTTATTTCAAAAAGCAGACTCTCTCTTCCTTCCATGCCTTTCCCATGCTCCACCGGCCTTCCATGAAGGGATTTAAAGATCCCCACTCACCGTTTGCCAACGCTTCCAAACGCCAGGGAATGGAAAGTCTTGCAGGCCACGTTTCGGGGAAAGACACGTTTCCCTCTCTCTGCCACAGCTTTGTTGAATGTCACATAGAGGAAGTTGAGCTCTGCAAACTTCTCCGCGTACTTGATCAAAGTTGATGTCTTTCCCGTACCTGAAGAGCAAAAGCAAATGAATAAAAAGCATTTCAGGCAGGAAAGGATGAACCTGCACCCCTCTTACCAGCCTTGCCTTCAGTCAAACAGGCTGTATCAACCAGACCTCTCTGGAGGACACTTTTACTTGCTGAAATCCCAATAGATTTAAGGGGAACAGGGCCCCCTTCTCCAAGCTGATGTTACCTCCTGCCTGCCAGATCATACTTATTTGTGTTTACTCATTAGTTCTATCCTTTATTAGAGTTCTTACCAATTTGCCCAGCATAGATATTGGACTCGTTGCAAGTTTTCTTCTCATGCCTCTCTTAAAAAAATGAGATCCCATTTCCACCTTTCCATCTTTTAAAACCATGGCATTTTTAAGCAAGTTAGTTACTGGTTCAGCTGCTTCCTGCTTGAGGTCTCTTACATCCCTGGAGTGATGCAGTCCAGGTCAGGAAATGCACAATACCAAAGTATATTCCGTCCCTAACCTTTTCCACACAAATTTGAGGCAAATCCTCTGGTGGAACCCTATAGAGAAGGATCCTGAGACCTTCCTTGAGGAACACAGATGTAGAAATACAGTTTTTCTGCCACAGCCTCATTCACTCTAAGACATCATTTATATTGATATACAATTAGGTAACAATCCAGCAGATGTTGTGGCAAGCAGCCTCCTGCAGGTGGTTGAAGTTTGATGTTTGTTTTTACACTTTTTACCAATGGCTTCTCAAACTCTTTCTTTTTTGTCTGCCCTGCCTTATTGTAATTGCATGGGACCTTTTCACAGTTCACAAATATTTTCGTTTGCACCATTTTGGACACGTCAACTTTTTAACAGACATAAGAAGCACCTAAGAAGGAAATTCTCTGCAGGTGCAGGGGGATAATTTCCTTTTCAAGCAAGCTTGATTTTACACAATTCCCCTTTTTCAGAACAGAGCTCGAAAGGAGATTTCTTGGCTTGTTTTGCTCCTATACGAAGAATAACTCTAAAAAAGTAGGAGCAACTCCGTCTAGTGGCCTTTGGACAGTAACGCTGTAAAATTGGCCCAGCATGAGGCTAAACAAGGCTATGGTGGCTTCCCTGCAACCTGCACCCAAATGTTTGGTTCCAGCATCATGTCCCAACACATTTGCCCATTTTTCTGCTTGCTTTGACATTTTGTGTTGATTAAAAGTAAAGCTGATGTGCTGGTACCCACAGAACTCCTCTGAGAGAAGCAACAGGGAGGGAAGTGTCAGAGTTAGAGGTTATGCAGGTCCCCTCACCATGTCACTTTTTGGCTTTCTTACCTGCAAATGCCATAATTTTCACTATTTGACCACGCTCAATTTTGTGATTCAAAATCCTTTGCTGTTCATGTGTCAGCTTTATGTCAGGGCAATTACTAAGACAAAAAAAAAAAAGCAAAGAAAAGGGAATTAAGAAAAAAAATCCACATAAAGCAATCAAATAAAACAGCAGGAGGAAACCAAGGAACGATGGGTCCTACTCAACGGGGAAGGTAGCACTAGAGCAACCTGGTTATTGAGCAAGTAAGAAAAGCAGCAAATTCCAGGGAGTAAGAAAAGATTGGGGTTGGCAAAATAAAAGGTGCAGCCTGGAGAAAGGCCCCATAGAAGATCTGCTCAAGGGTCCTAAGTTGTGTTTTCAAAATGATTTTAACACCCAGAAGCCTTAGACTCATTGAAAACAAACTGGAGTGACGTTTGGGGGGATTTTGTTGCTTTTGAAAGCCTGAACCTTGGATTTCTCTCTGCTTTCCTGTTGAGCAGGATGGGCCAATTAGCCTGGCGTCACAGGGGAACCAGGAGCTTTGATTAACATCCAGAAAGCAGCTTCAGGCTGGAGCACAGTTGTTTTATTAATAAATGTCTGCAGCCTGCAATTAGCCAGCAGTGCAAACCCCTCTCTGCACAGAGCCCTCCCTGACGTGCTGCCTTGTTTAAACAATCTTGACATTAGATGCCACCAGGACGTATCTCCTCCTCCTGGACACACAGTCTCTGCTTAAAGAGACTTCCAATGGAAGGGGAGGCACAAAAGGACTGGGAAATCACCCAGAAGTGAAGCCCATCATCTATTCTCCTTTGATTTTTTTTAATTTCCTCTAATGCTGCTGGATCTCTGGTGATTTTCTGGGATTTATCTGTGCTACACCTCTGCGAGGGAGGAAAGCACGGGAATGCTGCTCCCGTATTGCAGATAAGGACATGGAGACTAAATGATTCAACTCGAGGTAACTGCAGCAGAGGTGAAAACAAACGGGATCTCCCTCAGGCCAGGGAAATATGTTGCTCCAACTGCCTTTCCTTTTGCCACAGCAAGGAAATCCAGAACACGGAGCCAAAGCTGCATCCTGAGGCCAGTATATCCCTTCACTCATGCACAAATACAGTGTTTGCAAATGAACTACTGTATTTTTTTGCACTACATCCTCAGCAACCCAGCTCTGGTTTTGGCTGAGAGCAACTTCAACACACGCATGTCTAGAAGAATATGTTGTTTAAACTAGAGCAGGCCCTCTGCCCCCTCTTCCAAAGCTCCTTATGGAATCATTAGGGTTGGAAAAGACCTTCACAATCATCGAGCCCAACCGTAAACCTAATGGTGGGATCAGGGTGGGATCAGGGACTACAGCAGCTATTCTAGCTCTGTGAAATCTCAGCACACACTGTCCTCCACCAAAAAAGAGCAACAGACACATCAGTGAATGAAGGTCTAAATTCAGTCAGTGGAAGCAACCTAATAGATTTAGGGTCTGATTCTGTTTTTGTCCGAGAATTCATGCAGAAGGAGGCAACGAGGCCTTGCACGGGTCGTTATGAAACTTGGAATCTTGGCATGAAATCCCTGCTCCCAGGTTGAGCTCTCTGCTAGGGAGCTTGGGTGCATTGCTCAATTCTGCTGGGAACATTACCCGGCCCAGAGGTCCCGTCTGCAGCATGAAGCAGGTGTTTCCTCCTCTGCCTCTGCAGTTACGGAGCCATTTTCCATCAGATACAAGCAGTAGAAAATGTTGTAATGGATCCTGGTAGAAAGGACAAAAGAGAAACCATCACTGAAATATCAGCAAGAACAAACTGGAATTCTGCAGTTACCTAAAAGGCTTCTAACATCTTTAATCCTTCCAATGAGCACAAAGTGCATGCAAGCCATCCTTGCCAGCAAGCTGCCTGTATCTGGATTAGGGCACCCCAATTCTTTTGTGGAGGGGACAAACCTGCCTGGGCAACGAGGACAATGAGCCCAGCAAGACAAAAGCTCCAAAACGCTGAGGGCAGCAGCCAGGCAAGAGCTTTTCTGCTTAAATTTGGGAGAAAGTTTTCTGTTTGCACTGTGGAACACTGAGGATATTGCAGGGCATCAGGCACAAATCCGAAGCCATCGGAGACGACGCTGGGACAGACTGTGGGATGCAGGCACCAGTTAGCGCATTGCAAATGCCAATATTAATATTTCCAAGTGCCATTAGCTAAACTTCGAGATGTGCCTGCAAAAGTGGCACGGGGAGAGCTCTGTGCTTGTGGCCTCCCTCTCATCCCTGCCCTGGCTTGGGCATGAGAAGTTACCCAAGAGTGAGCAAACAGGACCTGGGATCAGAGCTCACGGGATCCTTTGGCTCTCCAGACCACGATCAGCAATAGACAGTCCAAGGAGAGAGAAGCTGGCGCTCATTTTGGCCTCAAAGGTAAATTAATTTCAGCAAGAGGCTTATGGTTATTTCATACAAGCGTGTTAGCCCTGACAAAACCACTTGCAGGTGCTTTGCTGCTGCCTGCAGAGGAACGCAGTGTCTCTGGCTTTACTTAGCTGCTTTACAATTAACTTCCCTCCAGGGATGACATTGCTGTCATTGCTGATGACTTTTACTGCAGCTTTGCAGCTCTGGCCTAACAGCAGCCACCTCGAGGTCGCTGTCGCCCAGGAAATATCTCACATGGTTCCTCAAGGGCATCTTTCCTCCTTGCACTTTATATCACAAGTGGAAAAGATGCTGTTGTTCATTCTTCTTGTGGTCTAGGTTGTTCAAGGAGACAGGGATGGGACACGGGGGACTTTTACACCGGCCTCTCGTTGCTCCTGTGCTGGACCCTTCATCTGCCAGGTCCTTATAGCCATTTACTCAAGTTAATGACATCAAGTTATGGCACCATTTAGAAAGAGGGGTGAAGTGTCAGCCCCAGGACCAGTGGCAGGAAATAATTACTGTATTTACATGTTTCTACTGGCATGTCTGTATCTCTAATTAAATGTTTCTATAGCAGCTTTTAAACCACTATTTCAAAGATTCCTGCTTTTGTTTCAAGGAGGAAAAAAATCTCTTTTTCTTAAACGCTATCTTTCAAAAAACCAAGCAGACTACGAAACTGTATGGGAATCCAAGCAAATGTGATGGGAATGTTCCTGTGATTTATTTTACAATTCCCAGTATTCCAAACTCCCACTGGAGCTGGAAAACAAATGTGTTTTATACCATTGCTTTCTAGAATATAACATCAACTAAAAGGCCCTCCATAACCAGGACTGGCCTCAACTCATGGCTGGATGAGATTAAGCTCCTCTGGGCATGAAACTGCTGCTCCTAAGTTTGCTCCATGCTGCAGGCTCCTCGGGAAAACATGCACAAAAGCAAACAGGTTGCCCAGAGGTTATGGAAACTGCTCTGCTGTTTTCCCCACGCTCCTCACCGGTTGGAGACGGCGATGTCTGCCTCTCTCATGGCATAGAGCAGCGTGGCTATGCAGTAAAGTGCCTCGGTCACGTCCACAAAGGACAGGGTAGAGCTCGGTCTCCACAGCCGCTCCATCAGCGTCTGGATGTCCCGGATGCCATCGGAGAAAAGCACCATGGTTGTCACGATCGCCCACATGGCCTCAGGCTGGTGGCGGCAACGAGAAGGATCAAGTCAGGGCACACAGCTGGGAGTAACTGGAATATGGGATAACGGCTTCAACCTACCCTCGTGCCGCTCTGGAAATGCGGCGCTTGGCCGGCGATGCAGGTTGCAGCTTTTGGGAAGAGGTGGTGGCTCCTTAGGCACCGGAGAACGGCGCTGGGATCGACGTGCGGGCTGGTGTGAATGGCAGACACCCACCTGTGTGGAACAGCAACAGCAGCACTTGCAGATAAACCCTGTTTAATGAGTTTTCTCACATTTATTTCTTGCATAAATATGGTCCTCTACTAGGAGCACTACTAGTTTTTAAGTCTCTTTGCACAGCAGGGATCTCCATTGCTCTTAACCCTGTTTGACTCGTCTCTTTTGCACCATTTAACTGTTACTTAGTCCTCTCACTCCTCTTGGCAGCCCCCTCTGCATTGTTGTGCCTTGACACATGGGTCCATCCTGGAAATATTCCTCCAAGCCCCAAATCCAGGCTGTGGGAAGCTCATAGCTCCTTGCTGACATCCACTCTTTTTGACATGCCCAATTTTTGCGTGTGGATGTGCAGTCCATCATGAAGCAATCCCAGTCCTTGACTATAAGGTTAATCATTCTCCACTTAAAGGTATTGGCCCCAGGATGGAGTGATTGAGAGAGGCTCATAGGCACTCAGGATCATGTTCCCTGGTGCATCCACAGTGCCCCACGCTCCATCTAGTCTTCCCTGAGTGTCCCAGTGCCTTGGTGACAATAATTATTATTTTGGGGACATTTCCATGTAAAGCTTGCAACAAAGCAAAGGTTGAACTGCCAGAAGGGCCTTCAGAAGCCACCAGACCCAATCCCGTGTTCAAAACAGGGCCAACTTTGAGGTTTGGTTATTTATCCCAGTGAGAACATTGGCTATTTGTCCAGGTGAGTATCTCCATATAGATTCCCAGCTCTCTGCACTAGTGTTTGACCACTCTCCTGCTACGTAACTGGAATTTGCCACCCTGCAGCTTGTGCCCTTTACCTCTTATCCTCTCACTATGAACCTCCAAAAAGAGGTGCTCTCTATGGCTCATATAACTCTTCCTTCCAGCAGGGAGTTAACAGAAGGAAGCAGAAGACTCAAAGCAAGGAAGGTGAGAGGATCTGCCCCTCCAAAGCGACGTGCAGATGCAGACTCACCTGATCATGCCCACCACACACTCCTCGTGCTCCTTCACTACGCCGTGACGCTCCAAGAGCTGCCCAACACTGTGCAGGGCTGCGGGCTCCTTCATCACGTACCGGTGGTAGAGCTTTTTCCACGGGATGAACTGCAATGTGGCAGGAAAAAACAAGGTCCATAAGAAAAAACGGAGCTGAAGGCCCATGCACAAAACCTGTTTGACACCAAGAAACATCACACACACAAAGGAAAGGGGGTTGGTGACACAGAGCAGCCAGGAGAGGAAACTGCCCTGTCTTATAGCCCAAATTTCCTGCTTGATCCACAGAAGAAAAAAAAAAGGTTACAAGGAAAACAATGTAAAGGGACTTTGTGGAGGATCGGGATGCTCTTTCCACGCATGGAAAGACTGCAGCAAAGGAAATTATTCCAAACCTGATCTCCTGATACAGGTTGGCATTTCAATAGGTAGGAAGGAGTGAAGAGTGTTCCCTGGAGACCAAACTGACAAAAGACCCAACAGGAAGAGGTGAGGGCAATAGGGAAACAGTAAATGGGTTTAAAGGGAAAAAATCAGACAGACAGGCACAAGATGGATATTCCCAGAGCAACACGTGCAGCCATGAGGCCAAGACATGACAGAGCAGCAAGAGAAGTGCCAGGCTCAGAGGAGTGTCACAGCAGCCCTTACCAGAGGATCAGTGACAATCTGCCTCCAGAAGTGACACACCAGGCTCAGGCTCTGGTACAGATCAGTGACCGGGAGGAAGGCAAAGATCCTCCTCAGGACTTCAGCGGGCAGCTTCTCCATGCTGCCCTGAGGCACGTCCCAGCTCCGGGTGCCCAGGAGCCCGTAGCGGGCATCAGGAATGGGTTCGACTTCCATGTCATCAAGTTCCTGCTTGATTCGGCTCTGCTCTTGCTTGATCTCCCTGTGTGCTGGATGGAGCACCCGTGGCTTCTCCTCAGGCTCATCCCACAGGTACTTTGTGCCACGGCCACCTGCGACTGCTGCGGATAGTGTCCTTTTTCCAAAGGAGGAGCCTTCCTTAGGAGCTGGTCCATCATCCTCATCCTCTAGGAAGGAGAAGGGATCCTCTGCGCTGCTGAAGGACTCATCAGCTTCACCGAAGAGGGGAGCTGGTAGCTCTTCTTTGATTCCACGGCTCTGTGTCCCCTCTGCACCTTCCTGCTGCATCTGAGAGCTCCTGAAGTAATCGGTGATGCTCTTCTGCTGCCCTTGGCCTAGGCAAAAAGGAAGGACACGAGTGAAGTCTCCACAAAACGGTGTAAACTGCAGTGCTCCGAGCTGACAAGGAGATGAGAGGCGGCATTTATTCCCTCATGGATTTATGAGCTTGATTACAAGGGAACTGTTCTGCTTCCTGTTGCCTCTCTGGTTGACCACGGAGGTCAAAATTCATCTCCTTGCACTGTCCACGTAACCCGGGGATTTTTGGAGCATTTCTGGCAGCAAACAGAGCTTCAAGAGAAAGATACGGCCTGTACTAATCTGTACCTCCCAGATTAGCAATCCCCAGCTAACATAACTAACCACATGTGCATTAAATGTAAACAAGGCTACATATTGAACTAGGTGGGAGGTATTTCCACTGGTCAGCTAAGACGCAGGCATGAGGGAAGCATAAAAATGCAAGACTCGATTTGTTGCAGTACAACTCTGAGACCGAGGCAGGGCTTTTAGTGGTTATTTACTGCTGTGGATCTGGGGAAACAAAAAGGGAACTAAGATTTGGGGAAAGTTCAGGGTTTGGCTACTTCTCTGGGTCACAACACTGAGCGTTTGCGGGCTGCTTGTAGCCCTGAATGAGAGACACAGCCGCTTTTAAAAGGATAAACAGACTTTTCTCACCAGACTCCTTCTGGCTGCAAGGCAAAAAACCACCGGAGAGCATAAAGGAAACTAAAACTTGGCAACAACGTGGTCTGGGCAGCCTCGCTGTTCTCTGACAGCACGCGGGCACTGCCTTGCACCTCCTGCAACCCTCTCGGTGCTTAAACTTACCGGCCTTCATGGTATCCATCCCATCCTGCTCCTAGCCTGCAACATCTCCTGATGCCTAGCTAAGAGGAAACTCAGGGAAAATACTTTTAAAAAAAGAAAAATCACAAGCAATTACTGCTGATTTTATTGTGTTTTATTTCTGGGTGCTCATGGAGGCATAGCTTAAGGAGACCTCATTTGCAAGACACTTGCTGCTTAAAAAAAAACAAACAAAAAACCAGCTCCCTGATTAATGTCCAAAACCTGGATTAATGTCCAAAACCCCCAAAACCTGGAGGATTGAAGGTTAGTAGATTTTAAAAGGGAACCTGCCAAAGATACCTTTTTTTGGGCTTATATATAAATATATATATATATAAAAAAAGTGTGTCTGCAAGCACAGAGCCTTGGACTCTGGGGTCTTGGCTCAGCAGCAGATCTCTCTGCCCTGCTTAACCCAGGCACAGAGAGGTTCCCACATTAGCCAGGCAGCTTTAATGCTCCTAAAACTCCTTCTCGAGAGCGACCTGAGCATTCGGGGATGATATTTAAGATTTTTTTTCCCCTCTGCATCTCGAATGTCCCCCCTGCTTTTGCGTGCCCTCTCTTGCAGTTAAACAGCCTTGGAGGCCAGGCTTTTAGCTCTGCAGATAGCGGATGAGCGGCCTCACCCTGAACTCCCCATTAACCGTCCTGCGTAGATTAGCTCCAAGTCTTATCCATTTGCAAAAAGCCCCGCGGATCCTGCGATTTCGGCACTGAGGAGGACGACGTCCCCACACAGGGTCCCCAAATCTGCCAAATCTGGTACCTCGGCGGGGCCTTCTTGCCCGCCGGGAGGGATAGAGGCCCCTGTTGCCGTCGCCGCTCGTCGGCCTCTGGCTCAGCGGCTGCGTGAGGGAGCCCTTGCTGCTCTGCGCCATGGCCCGGCACTCCTCGGCCATGAGGTGCATCTTTTTGAAGCGCTTCACTGCTTCGCCAGCGGGCAGAAAGGAACAAGAAGAGCCATTAGCAGCAGCAATAAACTGTGTTTTTAGCAGACGCGCCCCTTTTGCGATTGTTTTTGGGATGTTTGGCAGGACGGCCACAGCGTTTTCAGCAGGGGGTTCCTGCAAGAGCTCATAGCAGGCATTGAGGGACGTGGGGAAGGCAACACGTTATCAAACTGCTGCATTCGCAGACGGTGGAATCAGGGAAACGGCGAGTTTGTGAGGGCAGAAAAGCTTGGGCTGATGGCATTAACCGTATGTCATGGAGCGATTAAGTTTGGAATACCCAAAACAGATTGCGACGGTTAAGGAGAAAACATTGTTTTGTGGCATGTCTCTTCCCTGTGATTAAATACAGTAATGTAAATAGCGTGTTGCCATTCCACAAAAAATGCGTGATGGGAACCTGGAATAGCCCCGCGGGAAGACCTTGAGCAAGGAATTTCACTCACAAACAGGGAGATGTAGTGGAAAAGGGGGCATAAGGGGCGTGAGTGAGGGGAGAGAAGGACATGGCGGGCACTTGGGAGGAGCTTTCCCTTTGGAGCTGCTTCCTGACCCTCACGGGGCTCTTTCTGTTTCGCTTTCCAGCCGCAGGCACCCAGTGCCACGTCCCCATTTTGCCATGGTCCCTCCCGGCACTTCCACCGCCCTCTCCCTCTGGGACCCCATTGCCAAGGGCCCCCCTCGTCCTGCCCGGTCGCTAATGTCCCCCCCAT